CCTCGGGGAAATGATAACCTTGGAAAGGACCAAGAAAAAAAATAATATATAAAATCAAAATCAGTCAGCGACAGGAGCTCAAAACCGCCAAGATCTAGCGTGGATTTGTCTTATTTTTTCCTCTAAAGCATCACTTTGGGGTTTAAATCTATGAAACGGTCAACATGGAAGCAGAAAAGCCTTGCTTTCCTACTCTACTGCCCATTTTCTTACTGCTTTTAGCTCTCTCTCACCCCTTTTCTTACTCCTTTCCTTTCTTTTTCCTTGAAGGATCCGCAAACACCGCAAAAAAATAATAAAAAAATAAGTGGTAAAACTGAAAGGGACAAAAGGTGGGGGGAATAAAAGGCGCCCCAAAAAGGTGGGGGGAAGGAGGCCAAAAAGGTGAGGGGGGAAAAAAGGAGCCCCCAAAAAGCTTTGGGGAAAAAAAGGAGCCCCCAAAAAGCTTTGGGGATCTGCCAGGAGCCGGGGCTGGACTCGGTCTTGTAAGCCCACTCGGGGAAATGATAACCTTGGAAAGGACCAAGAAAAAAAAATAAATATATAAAATCAAAATCACTCAGCGACAGGAGCTCCAAACTGCCAAGATCTAGCGTGGATTTGTCTTATTTTTTCCTCTAAAGCATCACTTTGGGGTTTAAATCTATGAAACGGTCAACATGGAAGCAGAAAAGCCTTGCTTTCCTACTCTACTGCCCATTTTCTTACTGCTTTTAGCTCTTTCTCACCCCTTTTCTTGCTCTTTTCCTTTCTTTCTCCTTGAAGGATCCGCAAACAGCACAAAAAAATAATAAAAAAAATAAGTGGTAAAACTGAAAGGGACAAAAGGTGGGGGGAATAAAAGGCGCCCCAAAAAGGTGGGGGGAAGGAGGCCAAAAAGGTGAGGGGGGAAAAAAGGAGCCCCAAAAAAGCTTTGGGGAAAAAAAGGAGGCCCCAAAAAGCTTTGGGGATCTGCCGGGAGCCGGGGCTGGACTCGGTCTTGTAAGCCCACTCGGGGAAATGATAACCTTGGAAAGGACCAAGAAAAAAAAATAAATATATAAAATCAAAATCACTCAGCGACAGGAGCTCCAAACTGCCAAGATCTAGCGTGGATTTGTCTTATTTTTTCCTCTAAAGCATCACTTTGGGGTTTAAATCTATGAAACGGTCAACATGGAAGCAGAAAAGCCTTGCTTTCCTACTCTACTGCCCATTTTCTTACTGCTTTTAGCTCTTTCTCACCCCTTTTCTTGCTCTTTTCCTTTCTTTCTCCTTGAAGGATCCGCAAACAGCACAAAAAAATAATAAAAAAAATAAGTGGTAAAACTGAAAGGGACAAAAGGTGGGGGGAATAAAAGGAGCCCCAAAAAGGTGGGGGGAAGGAGGCCAAAAAGGTGAGGGGGGAAAAAGGAGCCCCCAAAAAGCTTTGGGGAAAAAAA